TGATCACTTTAAAAATCAAATACGTTACCAATAAAGCCACAATACCTTCTGGCTGTTTTATGAGACAAATGTATTTGTTCTTGTTTAGTAGAACCTAGGATAATCTGTGATCTATATAAACATCGGCTATGTGTGCCTTGTCAACAAAAATGAAGTTGAGGTATTTGTTTCTAAAGACTAATTATTTTCCCAAGAAAAGAAAAAAGACCTGCTTTTTCTTGCTTTAAGCTCTTATATCTACTATAAATAATGTGATTCTAATCTGTCTCTCCAGCTCCATCATTACAGGGAAAACATCTCTTTTCTGAAATTCTGTTGCTATATATGAGAGCCAGAGTACTCAACCCCCTGATACCACAGTGACATCAGACTTATAAGAAGCTATTGATTAACCACTTCTATACCTTTTGCATTTTTTTAATTATGATATAAGTTGATATGGGTGAATTAACTTATTTCCCTGCAACACATTATTTTTTTCCTTTGAATTAAGTATCTGGGTGAGCTATAGCACTTGTTGGTTGTGAGACAATTTTTATCTTATAATGTTAGGAAGATAAGATTGAAAGGTGGAACTAGAAAGCAGGCTTTAGGCCAATACATAGTAGCCTAACAAAATGTGCATTAATTCTAGTTACTTATATGAGGTTACAAACCACTAATGGGTCAGTAAGAGATTCACTCACCTTTAAGTATTGGGTTCATTTTAAAGTAATACTTTTTGGATTAGTATTGTTCAGTCATAAATCTAAGTACTTGGTTGGAAATAAAGCAGATGTGATTTCTAGCCTGGCTCTGGGGAACCCCTCTGTGACCATTTCGCTGTCTGTTTGTACATCTATGAAAGGAAAATATGGCCAATGATCTCAATGTTGTGTGTCTGTGTGTGTGTGTGTGTGTGTTTGTGTTTTATGTTCTTTTTTTCAAGGCATATTTGTGGATTACCTGGCACTTAGTATGTCCTCTAATATTACAACTCTATGTCAACTGAGGGAAAAAGGTTCCTTTTTGCTGGCACATAGGAAGAGGCCTTCTTTGAAAACTACACATAAATAAGCATTAGTATAGGTCAAAGTCATTAAACAAAATGCCTTTGATAAGAATGGGAATGCTTCCCCCCATAACTGAAAGAAATTACTAAAAAACTAGAAACATAACATTGAGGCAGATTGATTCTTTTCTCTCGGGGCAAGAAATGTGACTCAGAGACATCAAAAAGAAAATGTTTGCAACATTTGCAACAGCCCAGATTTGCTTACAGAACACCATTAAGGCCATTGGGAAAAATACTGAGGCAAGATTTTTGTTATTGTGCCCCCTGCCCCCTAAGAGATCTTGTCATCTGCAGGAATCTCTTTCCATTTGTTGGGACCAGGGGCATAGTGAGAAATGAGACCTAACATGCAAAAAACATTGTTTGCAACATGCACTGGAGAAGATTTGTAGCAACTCTAACTTATTTTTCTTTACTCAAGAAGAAATGCAACCAACAGCAGCAGAGGAAATCAATATTAAATACCCATTTGACAAGTGCATTGAGACTACTGGAGGGAAGAGGAATTTTGTTTTGTAAGGAAGAACACAAAATTGTTCAACATTGTGAAACATCAAAAATAAAAAAAACCCATAAGGTGTACCTTCATCAGAGAATCAAAGCCCAGTCTTACTTATGCCAACAAATACCTGGGAAAATATATCCTGTCATTATTTGACACATGCTTATTTCTGAAATAATTAGGGCGAGTAGGGGATATCCTTCTGAAATTCAATGTTTAGTTAAAGTTTATTAGAACATAAACACTATAAGTCATTTTATACAAGCATTTAAACTGCTTAAGCTGCTTACCACTATTTTTGACATTGATGTTCCATTCCCTGTCTGTGATGAATTATCATGAGTAATTAAGTAGACAGACATGAAAAACCAAATCTAGGAGTTTGACAGAATAACTGGGTATGGTAATAACGAACCAAAGGATCCTTGTTCCGGTTCTGCCCTGATTTGCTGAGTGAATTTGTACAAGCTGTTTAAGAGCATCAGGGTGGAAGAAGAAGAGTTTTGCTTTGGACAGGAGTGGGAGGGGCTTGAATATGTTTATTTCCTGAAGGTTATGGACCATTATCCAATAAATTGGGCAGTGAGAAGAGAGAGGAGATGTTCCATGCAGCAAGGTTCTGCATGAGTGGCAATGGGAACTGTGATGGAGGGGGAGAAATTGACCTTGGGCAGAAAGACATTTTCCCCCCTGTAATTAGACAGGTGGAGAAAAGGATAAATGTAGATTGAAGTAAAATAGCCAGTGAAGGTGCCGAGAGAGAGAGAGAGAGAGAGAGAGAGAGAGAGAGAGAGAGAGAGAGAGAGAAGGGGGGGGAGAGGGAGGAAGTCAGGCCTAATAAAGGTGAAGCCATCAGTAGATGGATGACAATGGAGAGTACATGTGAGAATAAAAAGAGAGGACTATGAGCCAAGTAAAACAGAAAGGAAAAGAATGAATTGCAGTTGGCTTTGGGGTTGGGAAGAGTTCTTCAGCAGAGCTCAGCAGCTGGCTCCTGGTTTAGAAGGACAATTTCTACACTTGATCCAAGATTTGGGTTTTGTAGGCAAGCACTGGTGGGGAGGGAGAAAAACTTGACAAGAGATTTGGTGTATAGCATGTGAATTTGCTTTTGGGTTAAACAAGAGGGCTTTGTTTAGGGAGATGAATGAAAGTGGGTGTTAAATTTTTTTCTTGAGACTGACCACATACCACAAAAAGGCAGGGGACTTCTACAGGGCTCTGAACCCCAATGGTCCTTATTCCCAGGCTTGAGGTTGTTTCCCCCTGGTCCACTGACTTCCTTAGCAAATTATAGGTTGCTGATTATCTATAGGAAGGATATGGAAGAGGAGGTGAGCAGACATTTAATTCCTGTATTATGCACATTCAGTATGACTGTTTCATGTTGGATCCGCTTTGCTTGGGGCTATGGGTTTATTACATTCTGGAGGGAGATCGCACATAAACATTTCTTTTACTGTTTTTCCAAGTTGTTAACTAATTGTTTAAAAAGGATTCTTCTGGTTGAAATAGCCTCACACTGAAATGAACTTGGTCTTTCTGCCAGAGGCATATTCATACCAAGGATGTTTAGAGGCAATTCTAACTGTAATTTTCAGGGCTAAGAGGTGCCAGCAATTCAACAATAAGCAACGCCACTCTCTGAGAACAGTGGAAGGAAGGGTCAAAGTAGGAGTTTGACACCAGCCTTTGTTCTAGTGACTCCAAGTTTCGGAAGCTGGCAGTACAGGTGCACACAGACACGGTGGGACTGGGAATGGGACGGCCTAATTCAGCCATCCCATTTTGAGGAATTTTATATATGTGGAGGATCTGTTGTGGGAAGAGCATTAGACTGGAAGTCAGGAAACCTGGGCCCTATTCTAAGCAAATCACATAAAAGATCTGGGCCTCCGTGTTTTCATCTGAAAAAAAAAAACAAAACAAAACCATGGTGCTGTAGGCTGCACCAGGGGAGGCAAAATAGTTAAAAGCCAAATCCTGACTCCTTGTACCTGCTTTATATTTCAGGGGCTCCCCCTGAGCTAAAATAAGTTTAAAGACTCCTGGCTAGATTGTGTTTCCTAAGGCGTGTCTATTCTAAAATTCCAGTACTCTAAACAGGAATAACCTGTGGCCCTACTTGATGGAACTCTCATGAGTTTAATAGTTTTAATTCTTGATAACTCAGTACGTTTGTTATTTGATTTTGAAAACAGCTTCGTGCCAACCATGACTTGGGATTTCTTAGCTTGAGTCCATGGGTTGGTTTCTGGGAGTCTGTGAGACCCCTAAGCACACATGCAGGACTTTGTGGGAATGGGCATACAGAAGGATTTCAAAGCGCCCATCTGATCCTCAACAGGTGAATGAAAGCAGTAAATGAACACAAATTATCCCCAGCTTGATGGGAGTCAAAGACCTAGAGCATCAGTTTTAGGGGTAGTGGATGCTGAACTGGCATCTCCCACTTTAAAAAGTCAGCTAAACATTTCACTTTCATGCTGTACAGTCGGTAACATTCACAAGAAAATTGCCCAGGTCTTTCAAATAAAGGGAGGGGGAAAAAGACCAAGAAAAGCTGTCCAGATCCTAAGTCAACACACACATTTAAATAGAACAACTTCCCAGACCCCCTCACACAGTTCCATCCTTTCCCAAGATGACATGGCCAGAAGGTCTCCACAACATTGTGAGCAGGGGAGAGGGTCAGCAGGGTCTGGCCATGGTGCCACCTTCCCCCGTCATCTCACATTTTCTGATGCCAAGTTCAAACTCTGTGGCTCCCTATGCCAAACCTCAATCGAAGCTGACATACTTTTGCTAGAGAGAGAGAACCACACATTCTTCACCCTTTCAACCTGTGGGCCTGTTAACCAGGAGTTCTGAACGGTTCTCGGGCCTGAAGGTAAGTTTTCTTAAAAAGATGTGTTCTAAAGTAACGAGGAAGAATAAGAGTCAAGGAAACCAACATCTTGCCTCAGAAGACTTCCGTTTTCCTGAGTGCATTTGCAGTTCTTTTTGGTATCAAATATTTGTGTGATTATTAGTATTATAGTCAATAGCAGACCTCTCCGTCATCTTATAAGTCAGGTTCAAAGGCGGATACCCTGGTGGGGAGAATGAGGCCTTGATCGGAGGCAGTAGCAGGGAAGGGGGGCAGAGATGAGCCTGTGATGGGATATCAGGTGTCAGAGAGAAGACTCCTGACACATTAAACCAACCCAGGGAGGGTATACAGACCCATTCACAGGGCGAGGCTGGGGTCTGGGACTTGGCCCCGGATCCGCTTGCATGGGAAAACCAAGCTTCTTTGAGAGGCTGTGCGGCCCCAGCAGACAGACCACCGGGCATGAGAAACAAGACAGACCAAACGCAGGGACAGCGCTGAGACCTGAGAGCTGCCTCGAGAGACTGTATGAACCCTCAAAACTGAACACGTTCGCTCTCCTTTCATTGCAGATGCTGCACAACAAGCACGTCATGGTCCGCGTGGGAGGAGGATGGGAGACGTTCGCGGGGTATTTGTTGAAACACGACCCCTGCCGGATGCTGCAGATCTCCCGTGTGGACGGCAAAACGTCCCCCGTCCAGAGCAAATCTCCAACCCTCAAGGACATGAACCCAGACAATTACCTGGTGGTCTCGGCCAACTACAAGGCCAAGAAGGAGATTAAGTGAAACTAGTCGGTCAGGACAAGGGGACTCGCGTATGGCCTGTATCCACTTCTCCAGGGTAGTCAGTTTAGTGCACATGCTCTGAAAATCACTTTGGAATAAAGGTGTAACCCACAGGAAAGTGTCACCCTATTGAGAAAGGTTCAAAAAGTAGCACTATTTATTTTCATGCTTCTTCTGTAGAAAATGACCTATGAAAAGGCATTCTAAACTCAGATTTAGATTAGGCAAACTGGAGGCAAATTATTACTTCTCAACATTATTTAGAAATACAAATCTAGTGAGAGAATAAAACAACTGTTATTAGAAGAAGAAAAAAATTTTTTTAGGATTTCTAGATAAAACAAAGTGCCTGCTTTATGTCTACAGAGTAAAAGCATCCCAGACGTATTTTTAACTGCCAGATTTTTAAAAAGTGACAATGAGTGTGGTAATGTGCTACTAAAAACATCCAACAGCACTATCAATAAGAACAGAGTATTCATAACAGTAAAATTTTGCTGGAAAGGCCACATTTAGAAAAGTTTACATTCACTTGGAAGATTGCCTTAAAGTTTATCCCTTACCTATGACCAAGTATCTGGGGTACTTTTGGAAGTTTCCAGAACACCCACTAGAGAACGGCTTATGGATTGCCCCACACATTCCTAAGAAACATGGCTGTGTCGAGGCTGACAGTGTCACTCACACACATAAGCTGACATACATTTATATTTTGACAGAGTAAATTGTACAGTCAAATGTTCATTGACTTCATGTTATTGGAAAGCATTCTTATTAAAATATATCTTTAGTTAATCCTACTTTGCTATGCTGTCTAGTAAAGTCAATCCACTGTAGCTAATAATGTTACAGACTTATGTATACCCTTGTATCCCCAGGACAGAGCTGTTTTGTACCCATCAACAGCAAAATATTGTCCTTGCTGATTCAAGAATTAAAGAGATACATTGGAAAAAAAACAACTATCTGTCTCAATATCAATGATTCATTCGAAAATGAAAATAATCTTCCAAGGCCATCCTTCCCTGAGAGTTACACGAAGAGTCCAATTTTCGGTAGCCAGTACTTCTTTACTGTGGGCAGCTGAATGATGGTGTGTGTTCATCTAAGCGGAGTTTAGGTTTCCCATAGGTGGTCCCTTAGGTGCTGCTGCCTTGCGAATATAAGTATAGTCGGAGTTCATTTGTCATTTCCTCATTTTTCAACAACAAACGTCAGGGAGGAAGTATCTGTCTGCCCGATGACCGATTTCATCAAAGCAGACACAACCTGTTAACAGGGAAGTTGTTTTGTGTGTTTAAAAAGTATTAAATCGATTGGGGTGATAGAGGTTTCAGGTGTGGGTTTCTATGTTACAAGATCTGTATATTGCACTGTGTGCTCACCACCCAAAGGCAAATTTTCCCGTCACTTTATATTAGGACACAATAGGGAAGTTGTTAACAGGCATAATGTGATTTGGTGCTGCTGGAAGTGGTAGTAATCCTTCTGGGAGGAAAAAATATTAAAGTTTTGTAGGAAATGAAATCACCTTGGAACAGTGAATGATTGTGCTCTCAATAAGAAGATATGGAGTGATAGAATTTTTATGTTACTCACTAATATGAACACTGTATTTTCCTGTATAGTAATTGGCAACATTATTTCCATCAAAACTTTCTCCTGCGCTTAAATTCTTCCTATAAACATATTTTTAATAATTAAACCTAATTTTGTTAATTTAGTTAAAAATATCTAGGTTAACTAAACTATGAATCTTCATGAATTTTGTTTTCTCTTCTGACGTAACACCACAATGTATTGTGATAGTACTGCAGTCAGAAGTATGAGAGGGTCTCCTTGGGCTATTGAGGTGTCAGCCTTTTCTTTTTCCATTTCTTTGCCTTTTCTACCTTCCTGAGGCTGCCTGATTTCCTTGGGCTCATGTCCCCTTTCATCCGTCTTCAGAGCAAGCAACACAATGCTTCTTTGTTTACATCTTTTTGACCACAAGTTGGAAAGGTTCTCTGCTTTGAAGGATCCATGTGATCAGATTGGGTCCACCAAGATAATCTGCTATCATTTCACCATGTTATGATCATTAACTAAATCACATCTGCAAAATATCTTTTGCCATATAATGTAACATGCTCCCAGATTCCAGAAACTAGGATGTGAACGTGTTTGGGGGGAGTGGTATTCCTCCTGCCTATATCACATCATTTAAGTGTCACTAAGAACATGGTAATAAATGACATTGGGGTATAACTGCTAGCTGGATGGCATTCTATACCAGGAATAAGGACAACGAGACCACATTTCAAAGGAAATGGCCAAAAGCAGATGGCTCTTACTCTCTAGTGAAAATTACTGTATTGTTTTTTTTTCCAAATTTGTTTTGGCTATTATACATGCTCAATCTCCATATAAATTTTAGGATTATCTTGTAATTTCCTTGAAAAACCTTGCTGGAATTTTGCAATGAATTCATTGAGCAATTTGAGAATTGCCATCTTGACAATATTGATTCTCCCAGTGAACATGCAGTGTCTCACTGTCTTAAAAAACAATTTCAGCAACATTTTTGTAGTTTTTAGTTCAGATCTTCTACTTTTTGTTTTTCCTAAGTATCTTTATCATATTTGATACTATAATTGGAATAATCTTAATTATCAGATTATTTTAGCTTTCAAATAGAAGTAGAATTGACCTTCATATATTTAGTATTCTGCAAACTTGCTTAACTCATTTATCTTATTTTGCGAAAATGTGTAGGAATTTTCTACATGAGACACTTTATATTCTTTTTAAAATCTGTGCTAAATAGTTCTAAATTCCAACTAAAAAATTTAGAATGAGAAAATGGTACCTTAGGAGTTATTAGATAGATTGAGGAATTTAGGATAACTATTTGACTTCTAACTTATGGGATGAAATAGATTCCAAGCAATAGCCTACAGAGAACCAGTTTCTGTGTAGAACTAATTAGTTCCATTTCAGATAAGTTTGAAGTACTTACAACAGATTGCTCAAACCTGTTTTTATGACTGGAAGACATCAACTCAAAACTACAAGAGTATAGTACTACAAGAATAGACAACGCAATTCAGGAAGTAATAAAAATATCATATCCAGGTCAAGCAATTGATGAACATTCAGTTCTTAAACCACAATGACCATATTTGGAGGCAATGTTTGCAAGATGATGCATATTTAGAAGAGGAAGGACATAACAATAAAAAGCCATGTCATATGAGAAATTTAAAGGGTTTGAGTTGTTGGGACAAAAATGTCTCTGTGAAATCAGAACTGTTTTCAGCCTGCTCTATACACAAATGCCCGTCGGTGGCTTTTGAGAAAATTAAAGAAAATGGTCATAGTACCACATTTGAGCCAACTTAAGCACACACAGTAGTCATGGGCATCTAAGATGCTTGCTTGGAGATGCTGAAGGGAATCCACCTCAAACCTCAACACAGAGAGGATGCATACTTACTGACCTCTTACAGAGTTAATTATGCAGAAGTTATTCAAATTAAAACTGATAAGTTACTCTTTCTTCTAAGGGCACAGCATGATTCCTCAGCAAACAAACAAGTTCAACCATTGGAAGAGAAAAAGAAAATTCAAGTTTTATGCCAAATGCTCCTTGGGTACACCAAGGATGATAGCTGGAGCTTTTACAGTGTTATTTCTCTAAGGAAAGGGGCGACTAATAATATTTCTTTGGAGTACTGGAGAAGAAACATGCCTCCTCATAATTCAGGGATTGTATGAACACACCAAACAGCTCTTAGCTCTGTTCTTATTAATCTCAGAGAGATAAAAGCACTGCTGAGTGAGTTTTCTCTAACCACTAACCCAAGTTTGAATTATTTATGATGTAGTGAGATAAAATTTTGTTAAACAGAGAGAGCCAAAGCCAAATTTTAGATAGGAAAAAAAATGTATATTTGTATCCCTATATGGCAATACAGAATTTATAACAGAAAATTGTGTGAGAAAATGTAATCGGCAAAACAAGTGTAGATGCTTTACAAACATGTAGATGCTTTAAAAATCATGCACTATGTCAACAGGCCATGGAATAGTACACAACTTTTTGTTACCAGCCATATTAATGTAGTTTGGTGACTAGAATAAGAAAGCAGTGAATTAGGCATTTTATATTTTAACACAATAGTTACATGTGTGCATTTTACTGTTACGTTTGTATTTTACTAATTTGGTTGGGGTGTTTGGGTGCCATATTAAGCATTATGTTTCCCTAGTTAAACTATGAATTATGGTAAATTGGCTACAAAATAAGGTTTTCATTAGGAAGTGATGCATAACTTTATGAGAAGATGCCTGGTTGCATCTGTACGTGTGTACACATTTTCTTTAGTAGTAATTTAGTCAGGTTTCCTATTAGGCATTTAGTGTTCCCCATTCCTATATCCTTCGTGACACTATTCCTAACACTTGAGTATCGCCCCTTAGCCCATGTCACTTAGGTGGTTTTGGGGAAGCCATGGAGGTGGGTCATGGTTGGCTGGAGCAGGACATCCCACTGTGCCAAAAAGCAATATACCAGCCTACCATGCCTGGTTCAACAGTTAAGTAAGCATGGTATTTGGAAATAGAACAGTATCCCCCAGATGTAGACCTTTTGTTTACACTAACCCACGTGGTAATTCTTTAGGGTGTAGTACAAGATAAAATTGTTCTTTCTGTATTAAAACACATGGAAGGATTTGTACAGTCCAAGGACAATACATTTGGTTCTACATCCATTCAGATGTTAATGACCCCTTTTCTTTCAGCCTTGGAAAAATTAATCATATTCATAAAATCAAACTTTTATTTCTAAAATGTAACCCAATGATTTCACTATCCTTTATGAACAAAACTTACTAATCCTCTAAAACAGTGGTTCTCAGCCTTTCTAATGCGGCAACCCATCAATACAGTTCGTGTTGTGGTGACCCCAACCATAAAATTATTTTCATTGCTACATCATAAGTATAATTTTGCCTCTGTTAATGAGTTGTAATGTAAATATCTGTGTTTTCTGATGGTCTTAGGCTCTACAGCAGCTGTTTTCAACCTGTCACGACCCACAGGTTGAGAACTGCTAGCAGGGTCGCCTAAGACCATCGGAAAACTAACATACACAATGAAACTAACATACGCATTAAGACTAACATACACAATATATTGTAATATAACGAGACAGTGGCTGTTTCCTTTTTGTAAATCAAATGAGCTTGTCTATTTAGTCCCTATTGACAGTATCTGCAGATTCTAATTTAGGGCTCAAGGTATAGTCTTGCCATCTAAAAGAGTTAGCAACCACAATAGCTAATTAAATATACAGTGATTCTTCTATTTTAGCTTATTATATATTAAATAGAAATACTAAAAAAAAAAAAAAAAATGTGCCTGGCTGGTATGGCTCAGTGGTTGGTCACCAACCTATGAACCAGATCAGTTTGATTCCCTGTCAGAGCACATGTCCTGGTTTTGGGCTCCATCCCCAGTAGGGGGCATATGGGAGGCCGCCAATCAAGAATTCTCTCTCATGGATGTTTCTCTCTCCCTTCTGCGCTGAAGTCAACAAAATATTTTTCAAAATGTAATAAAATTCATGTTAGTAATAAAAACCTACAAAGTTTATGACTATGCATCATATAGAATTACCTCATCATATTTTTATGTTTAAAGTAGTCCTTTTAAAATACAGTACTTACATGTTTCTCTTTCATACATTTATATTTGCTTTGGCAAATGTTTCTCTGTATAAATCTTATGACCACTTTTTAATAAATACAAAAGAATACAAACATCTATGAAATTTGGTCAAATACATTGCTAGTCAATATAATCATCTAGATTCTTAGTTTAACTCATTCAGTTACTATAAAGATCTCCATAGAGCTGAATCTGATATTGTTCAACAATACATCACTGCCCTCTGATGGTACCACACTAATATATAACTTTAAATTCAAGCAAAATAATTATTATAATTTAAAATGTATGTTAAAGTTTATAAGCTACATAAGTCAAACATAAATTAGGAGAAATTAAATATTTTCTACAAATATTCATTATAGTTAAGTTATAAAAATTTGCAGTGTCCATTCACATAAACCCTTCAAATTATTTTTCGAAGATTTTCCCTGATGATCAGTTTAAAGGCACTAAATCCATACAGTTTAAGCAAAAGTCTTCATTACATAATGAAACAAAAGGAAATATAAAGCTAAGCAGCACAACTATAAACAGCTAGGAGAAAAATGAAATTGTAAATTTTAATATTTGAGATGTATGCCGAATCTTTACATGAGATGCATATATACTCACTATTTAAATTTAACTATTACCCACTTCTTGCAAAAGAAGCAAATGTAGGAAAATAATATTCAATGAAAGTTTTGGCCATTTTCTAAGTCTGAAAATCAAAGTCATGTTCAATATTTCAATACTGAAAAAGCACTGCGTTTAATGGCACTAAAGTTACAAAGTCTAAATCTCCATTTACTTGAAGAGAATAAATTAAATGAGGATGTCCACTTGATTGCAGATACTAGTTATTGGCAGGAGACTCTCACTCATATTATCCTTTATGAAACTGTCCACTAGAAAATAAAAACATAGAGAAAAGTAGATTTTCTTTAGGGTTATGTAATAATATGTAATATGTGAACAAACAGGCAAAGAGAGGACTATGGGATATACCAGCAATTTTCAACCAGTGTATTGTGATACACTAGCATGCCACAAGAATTTTTAAGAAACATGATACCTGACTATTTAGTCAGGGGCACTGACCTCTTTTCCCTTAGATTGTCAAATAAAAAAATGACAACAGCTAACACAATAGCCATCCGGTGTGAATGAATCAAAATTATACTATTTTTTTTTTTACTTATTGGAATTTTAGTAATTCATTTATGTGTCCCATGAGATGAAAAAGGCTGAAAGTTGCTGGCATATGCAAATGCAAACTAACAGCAGTGATTAGTAACATTTCACTTTATAGTCAGAATCTGAAAGAAGATATATCATCATTTAAAAATAGAAAAATATCTGGTCAAATTAATGGGTAGCTAAATTCAAACTATCCAATGATCAGTGAAAGAAAACACACACACACACACACACACACACCACCACCACCACCACCACCACACCAATCAAAGACAATAATGAAGTTATAAAATAAAAATAAAGGAATTCTTGTTTGAAGCACAGAACCAAGAACTGGTAGAAACTATTACATAATGGTTTGGCAGTCTTTTCCTTGCTTGAGTTGAGAAATTATCCCACTTGTTGTTCTGATTAAATCTGTAATAATAAGATCTAAAAAGAGCCATTGGGATAGGACCAGAGATAGTTTAAGTTTATTGAGTAGTATTTTCCAAGTATATCCAAGGACTATTATTGGGGCTATATATATTTTTAAAAAATTAATGTGTATTCCAAATAAACTTGCTTTCCTTTGTGAGAACTTCTTAGAGACTTGACTACTGTACCCTTTTTAATCTTCAAGGAAAGGATATTGTATACAATATAGTATTCAGAATTTTAAACCATTTTTTTAACATGGGATTCTATTTTCCACAATGTATCTCTTGGGACTAGAGTTAAAAACACTAGAGCAGCCATTCTCAATCTGGTTTGACATTTGATTACCTTGGGGAGCTTAAACCAGTACTGAGGGCTACACCCCACTCTCAGAGATTCTGTCAGCCTTGCTTGCAAGCTCCTCCTGAGACTCTAACGTGCAGGCAGGACTGAGGGCCACTGCACTCAAGGTCTGCCATTACTCCTGAAGCGGTGCAGCCTGTACTGATGCTAGTCTGCATCCTGATGTCATCTTTACTTTGACTTAAGACAAGCTGCCTTTCCAAAGGACAGTGCTTAATATTACCCTGGGAAGAGGCAGAGCTAGACAGGACATGACTGTGTGGAGGGCATGCAGAAGGAGGACATTTTCCTCAAACCATGGAGTCAGGTCAGATCAGGAGGATTCTGCCTCCATTACAGGACATTCCAGGCCAGCCCTGGATCAACAGGCCCGATAGCCGCCCTTAAAGAACCCTAGGCCAAAGGGGTTGTGAATTGAAGTTATTCTCTGTCTTGTAATTTCCCTTCTGTTATCCTTGAGCCCCTTACATGTTATTATGAACTTAATGGAATACTCTGGATGAGCCATGCATGTGGTCAAGGGGAAAAGCGGTACGTCCCTTAAAGCCAGTGTGTTGATGGTAGAAGTGGTTAGTGATATTTCATGGGGAAAAATGACAGTGGCAATGGTACTAGTTGATTTATGAGGACGAGACACTCTTACTGGGAAAATCTCACCACTGCCCAGTCTGATGGCCTCGAGGGCCATTTTTATTAAGGAAGCCAGAGAGATTTCCTGTAAGAACAACATTCAAAGAAATAAAGGTACTAGATTTACTTTGGGATGTTTTTCATTGTGAGCTCTTCTGAGGGGATGGACCAGAAGGGGTATAAGGCCTAAGTTATGTTTAATCTATAGGCCTCAGGGCATTAAAGCTTTAGGTCTAATCAAGAAAGCCTTTTCTTTCATGGAATCTGTTAGCTGAGGAGTTGTAAAATACCCTGTTTCCCTGAAAATAAGACAGTGTCTTATATTAATTTTTGCTCCCAAAAATGCGCTAAGCCTTATTTTCAGGGGATGTCTTATTTTTCCATGAAGTACGGTACACATTTATTGTTAAATGAAAATAAAGGATATTTATTACCTGTATACGGTATAGTAGTATGGTAGTTGTCAACACAAACCAGACAAACTGTGAATCCTACAGTCTCAAGAATTTACTCATTTATTCAATGACAATCATGTCATCATCCTCTGGAATATCATCATAACAATCCAATTCCTGAATTTCCTGGTGAATTTCTTGTGACTCCATTTCTTTCAGAATCAATGGACCAAATCTCTCATGTTTAGCCTGGGGGAGGGCTTATTTTTGGGGGGATGCCTTATATTTCACTCAGAAGGAAACCTGTAAGTAGGTCTTATTTTCAGAGGATGTCTTATTTTCGGGAAACACGTAAGTACCTTCTTAATTCTGATGAAATATAAAGTATCCTTTTCTTATAACATTGTATATAACCTTAAGTCACTTAGTAACTCATTTTCCTTCTACTATGAAACCAATTTCAGCATCATTACCAGTCCTATACTTTAATTTTCACAATTCTTTTTGAGAAACCTCTATGAAGTAAACCTGATGACGCAGATCTTTATCGCAACAGAATACTGAAAGTAAGCATCTATACTTTCCATAAAGTATTTTGCCTTCTATATCCCAACTGTTTTACCTTATATCATATTTATTCTATTGTTGGGGGTATATTAAAAAACTAAGCAAAATGGTCATAGCTATTTACTTTAATATTGAAACCAGTTATTTTATACATTTATAAAGTTAACATTCAAAGAATGTTTTAATTTCATTTAAGTGAAATTAGATAAAGTCTCTTACAATTATAAAACACAGGTAAATCTTATCTACGTGTGACATTCCTGAGCCAGAATCACAGCTGCACAGAATGCTCCTAAACTGCCTGCCCCACAAACATGTAGATATTTATATAGAGTTTTGAGTTAATTGGCTAAATCAGTGCTCATAAATCACTGAAAAGTTAAATATAATTGACTTGAAATTCAGAACACTTGACTGTCCTTTTCACAAGTATACTTACTTAAGGAAATTATTTCCTTTAAAAATGGACTAGAGTAAAATCTTAGTATGTGAGCCATTATTTTTCTCAGTTTTAACATGTAGAATAAAACCCGCATGCTCCTACTAGGTTGCAAATCCCCAAGTTCAAGGGCCTCGTTTAATGTGTCCACCATTATATTTCCAGTGACAAGAGCTGCAATTGTTAAACTGGGAGACGCATGTATCACACTCACTCAGGTATACCCTACTATCCAAATTAACATTTCCATAACTATGGTATGAGTGAGAATGAAAAGAGCAAAATATCAAATCACTGAGTAAAAACACTGCAGGTTCCAAAAACAAATTTATAGTGTAACAGAATTGAGTAGGACTGATGTATAAGTGGAAAGGAGAAATTATGTTTCAAAATGACACTGAATTTGGGTGATTTTGATTCCTTTACACTCTTCCATAATATTTGAGTTTTCCGCACATTTAAGATTAGTATTAATTATATAAAGTATTAAGATAATCAGGAAAACTTCATTTGAATTTTGGGAAAAAGGAAGTAAACCTATTCCAAGTAAATGTTAGAAAATAAATGAATATGTCTTCCAATCTACATTATTCTATTTTAAATTAATTCATAATGTTCTGTCAACCCATGTCAACAAGGGTTGCTATTTAAGTTTTTTAAGATTCCAGGTAAAATTAATGTTAACTAAATTTTAATACTTACTCTAAGTCCACCTTCTGGTGGGGGCCCAGATGTAGCGATTTGTTTTTCTATTTTTTCCTTTCTCTTTCTCTTTTGTTCCACCGACTGAGCATCCAAAATGCCCCGAGATGCAGCCTTTAAGAAATTTAAAGGGTACAAAACAACAATAAAAATTAGTATCCGAGTTTTTTTTTTTTTGCTTTCGAAGTATTGGTCTATATTGGTAACAAAGAATTAGACCATTTCTACAACAGCTTTATGAAAAAAATATCATTTTTTCATTTGGTATTTTGAAACTGTACAATTTTTTCTCCTAAACGTATTTCATACCTGTCAGTGTTTTATAAGGCATGGTCATTTTCTCCCAGGAATACTGCCAGTAAAGGGACATTTCACATTATAGAATACATGTGTATGATAATTTTCATATATTAGATAATATGAGTGCATTGATGTAGGTTATAGAAACACAGATCATTTTGAAAAATAAATGTCTTTAAATATAAATTTAATAGATATGGATAATGGATATTAGATACCATTTTTGTTAAATACTACCACTAGTCATAGACATCTATCAGATATAAAGTACCAAATTCTCTAAGTAGCTAAATTTCATTTTTAGTCTCACCTCCTTCTGTCTTCTTTCTGCAGCTTCTGCGAGCTTTGCTCTTTTCTCTTCCTAAGGACAAAATGTAACAAGTATGTTTTAAAATAAAACCAAACATTAGCATGGGTAATTTACATACCTATCTATATCTTATAGGTAATATAACAGTTCATTAAAAATATTTATTACTGCCCAAAATATTCCAAGACTGCCAGTACTTACTTTTATAAAATAATCAACTTTCTGAATCTCATTCTCACAATTAATTAACACAACTTCAAATAAGAGCATGCTAAGATATATATATGATTCATATTGTATGTCATATATTACATATACACTAACATGTTGATCTATAAAATATTCTATTTTCTTTGGCTAAAAAAAAAAAAAAAAAAAAAGCTTACAAGCAAGTCAGGACAAGAAAACAAATTCCCTTTAATAATACAAGGTTTAGTCCTGCCAATTGTAAGGGAGTTTGAAGTAGGTTGTGCTTTTAAGAAAGGTTCATGAATGAAGTGGGGAAATCTCACTGTGTATGACAGGAAGATGCAGGAAATTATGAAAGGGTGTTCTAGGTTGGGAAACTGAATAATTTTCTATATCCTGTGTTAAGTATAAAATCTTTAAATAATAAGACAGTAATTAACATTCTTGGGAGCTACGCTAGTAATTCCTTTGTTTTCCATACCAATTCATTCATTCATTGTACAAATCCAGTATTTACTGACTACCTGTCATGTGTATGGAACTGCCTGGGTGCTAGGGATATCGCAATGAAAAGAGATCAACCGAAGGACTTGTATACATGCATATAAGTACAACCAATGGACACAAAACTCTGGGGAGGGAGGGTATGTATGGGAAGAGGGGGTAATGTTAAAATATGTACACAGATAATAATTTTAAAAAATTAAAAAAAAGAAAAAACTCAGATAAATGTTTCCACCTAAATGAAACTTAAAATTCCAATGAGGGCACACAGTGAAATAAAGTTAAGTAAATGTGTACCAGGTAGTAGTAAGTACTTGGGAAACAGGAAGGACAAGAAAGAGAAGGACAGGCGGTATAGTCGGGGATCTATTTTATTTAGTGTGATCAGGAAAAACTCAACAATAAAGTAGCATTCAGGTAATGAACCACGTGGTTATCTATGGGGATGGATGGAGGGCTTAACAAATACGGACAGTTTAGGATTTTATCAACAGCCAGATGAACAAAATTAACAATATTTACAAGCAGCTGTAAGCAAGAAAGACAAGGTGAACTTCCTGGTTCCAACTTCCAGGTCATTTTCATTTATTTATTTTCCCTCTCTCTCTCTTTTAAATTTCTTTATTGATGAAGGTACCAGGTCATTTTTAGTGCCTATAATCAAATGGCTGGATAGTGCATGCACTTTCTTAAATAACTATTGTCTTCCAGCGACTTTTTAGCTAGGCAAGGATGTAGGTTTTCTGTTACCAACTCCCAACTCCCATCAAGGAGCATTCACGCAAAGATACCGTTAAAACCAGAAAGCTACGGTAAGTATAAATGCAGCCTACCACAAACCGCTAAATTACACTTGAATTTCAGATACACAAGGAATAATTTCTACCCCCACTATAGCGTGGGGCAAACCTGCTTTAAGTGCATTCCTGGTTTACCTGACAAATTTAACTGGGCGTCCTGTGCTTTTATTTCATAAATATGGCAACTCTACAAATTGTAAGCTCTGTATCCCATGCAATAATCGTGTTTTTTTTTTTTTTTATAAGGCAGGGTTAAAAGAGATTACTAATACAATATCCAATAAAGCAGGAGTGAGGGACTGTAATAAGCACCTTCTTTAAACAGTTCATACAGGCACATGAAAAGGCACATCTCCCACGAGAAGACTCCACACTTGAGCTCAGAAAAAAAGGAATTTCATCTGCACCCCGTCTGCCCGCGTCGCCCGCCTCTCCCGTCCGCTGCCACCAACTTCCAATGTGGCCGGAGCCGGCGGCGGAGAAGGGAGCGGCCCGCGGGCCGTTTTATGTAACCGGAGCCGGGAGCCCGCGGCCCAGGGTCCGCCCGCAGCGCCGCCGGGCCCCTCGGGGGGCGCGTCCGCGCGTCCTCGCCACCGGGGCGCGCACCCCGCGCCCAACCGCCCGCCGCCCGGCCCGCAGCGCCCGCCCGCCCGTCCGGCCCGCGAACAGGTGCGCGCGGCGCCGCGCAGCCGCGGCCTCACTCACCGGGTCCGGCGAGGGGGGCTCGGGCTCCCCGAGACACGGCAGGCACAGCCCCATGGGGACGGCGCTGCGGGCCCCGCCGCCTGGCCGGTAAGTGCGCACCGCGCGGCGCGGGGGTCCGCGCGTCCCACCCCGACGGGCCGAGCTCCGGCCCCGCCGCGGCCGCCGACTCCGCCGCTCGGCTCCGCCCCCGGAGGCCACGGCCCCGCCGCTCGCGACTCCGCCCCGGCCCGCAGCTCGCTGCCGCCCCCCAGAGGCGGCTCCCCGCTCCGCCGCCGGGGGGAGGGGGTGGATGTGGGGGGAAGGCGGGGAGGGCGCCCGGCCGGTGCCCGCGGGCGGCCTGGGCTGGGCGCCTGGACCCGCCTGCTGCCTGCAGCGTGCTGGCCTGGGGTGGGGAAAAGGGGTTCGCGCTCCCCTTGCCTGTCCTTTTCTAAACCAGGGACCTCATGGTTGGTGCTGCTTCTGTGAAATGGGGCCCTGGCCGCCTGGAAACCCAAGTTTGATTGGATTAAGTTTGCTGAAATTGCAAATGAACTTGAGTGCGGGTGTCTGCCCTGGAAGTGGCTCAGTATTGCTGCCTTAGAGAGAGCAGGGTGTGCCGCTCCTGGCTGTGATTTAGGAGCCCGGCCTCCGGAATGGGGCATGAGTTGAAGTGCCCATGGGTTTCTGGGGTTTTGGGACCTGATGGAGGGTGGTCCCTTCTGAGATGTGTTGGACCTCAAATGTTAATACGCATACATAGGAATCATCTGGGCATCCAGTTAACATGTGGTTTATAATTTTAGGAAGTGTAGGGTAGAACTTGAGATTCATTTCTGGGAAGCTCCTGGGTCAGGCAGAAGTTGCTGATACCTTCACACAATTGCTTTTGATTTTTTTTTTCTTCTTACTAGCTTTTCTTGCTTGTTGGAGTATCTTCAAATCTTAACAAAAAGAAAAGAAAAAAAAGAAAAAAAAGAAAAAAAAAGATGTGAAGTGACAGCTCCTCAGAAAGCCCATTATATGGTTTCAGGTCTTATGTTTAAGTCTTTAATCCATTTTAAGATATATTTTTTTTGGGGGGGGGGAGGCGCTGTAGGACTGGGGGCTAATATCATTCTGGGGCATGCCAATATCCAGTTTTCCCAACATCATTTATTGAAGAGACTATCCTTTCCCCTTTGCATATTCTTAGCTCCCTTATCACCTGGGAGTGGCTTATTTCTGGGTTCTTGATTCTGTTCCATTGGTCCATGTGTCTATTTTTATGCCAGTACTCTACCGTTTTGATTATATACTTTACAGTATGGTTTGATAGCAGGATTGCTTTGACAATTTGGGATTTTTGTTGTTGTTGTTCCATACAAATTTTAGGATTTCTAGTTCTATTTCTCTGAACAGTGCCATTGGAATTTTGATAGGAGTTGCACTGAAACTACAGATTGCTTTGAACAGAATGGACACTTTAACAATATTACTAATAATACTTCTGACCCATAAACAGGACATATCCATCTATTTATGCCCTATGAAAACACCAAGTTGCTTTTTGTGGCCCTACAGTGACTATATTTTATAGTTTCAGGTAATTTGGATCACGTGTACTTCTTCAACACAAAGTTTTAAAATTCATTAATGTTGTGTGTATATGTTCAATAATATTCCATTTTTATAGATGTATCACATTTAAAAAATGAATGTACCTATCCATTGACATATGGGCTGTTTGCATTTTGAGGCTATTAAGAACAAAGTTCTCTAAATATTGCTGTATACTTCTTTGTGTGAACATGTATATTTCTCTTTAGAAACAACTAAGATTGGAATAAGTGTGTCATATTTTAGAGTATGGAAAAACTGTTGGGATTTTCTGTTGTTGTTAATCCTCATTGAGGATATTTATCCCATTGACTTTTAGACAGAGTGGAAGGGAGGAGGCGAGACAGAGAGGAACATCAATGTGGGAGAGACACATAGATTGGTTGCCTCCTGCAAGCGCCCAAATGAGGACTGGGGTCTGAGATTGAGCCTGCAACCTAGGTACATACCCTTGACAGAATTGAACCTGGGACCCTTCAGGCCGCTGGCCAATAGCTCAACCACTGAGCCAAATCAGGTAAGGCGTTTAGGAATTTTTTTAAGGCAAAATACTTAAACCATCTTCATTTATATCAGCGATGTAAGAGTACCAGTTATTTTTCATCCTAGCCAATAGTTGGTACAATCAGTCTTTTTCATTTTATGAATTCATATGGACATATAATAGAATTAATATGCATTTCCCATGTTTTCATGTACTGTACTTTGTTATTTGCATGTTTGTTTAGAAATGTCAGTTCATATATTTTGTCCATTTTATTGGATAGCTGGAGTTCAAATTTTTAAAATATATTTTGTGGTCAAAGGACACATTCAGTATCACATCAGTCCTATGATATTTACTGAAATTTACCTGCTGGCCCAGCAGATGGTCTGGTTTCGTGTTCCAGTGTACACTTGAAAGAACAGGTGTTCTGTTGATGTTGGGTGGCATGTTTTATAGCAGTAATATTCTTGAACGGTAGTGTTATCTTCTACATCTTTAATTATTTTCTATTTGTTGCATCAGTTTTCAAGAGAGAAAAGCTATATTTCAGTTATAATTGTGGATTGACCTATTTTTTTTGAGTTCTAGTTTTTGCTTACTGTCTTTTGATGCTTTATTATTGGGTGTCTGTATTTATGATTAAATCTTTGTAATGAATTGAAGTTTTCATTATAATAAAGTATTCATCTATGAACTGTGCTATGCTAGACTTAATAAAGTTTTTTCTCTGCCCAGTAAGTCTGTTTTCTGCCAACATCTATGAAACTGTAACAGTCTAACTTGTTTTTTCTAAGTAGAATAAAATTTCAAGTTCTTCACAGTTCTTGATACTGCCTTTTAATTGGAGTGCTTAGACCATCTAGATTTAATGTAGCTATTGATTAATTTGTGATTTAATCTATTATTATCTTGCCATTTATTTTCTTTATTATCAAATCCATTCTTTTTTTTCTATCTTCATTTGGATGGATTTTAAGCACTCGATTTTTATCACCACTTAGCTATATTTTTGTTTTTGTATAGGGTTTCTCTAGTACCTACAATATGTCTTTAACATATCCAAGTCTATCTTCAAATAAAATAACTTTTCACCTAAAATATTAGAAACTTTTGATGATTATACTCTCCCACCCTTTGCTATTATTGTCATACATTTACCTCTATCTGTTATTAAAGCCATAATAATTTTGCTTAAAAGAGTCAATTCATTTTAAAATCAAATATTAGAATAAAATGATTTTATATTTACTTGTTTGTGCATTATTTCCAGAGCTTTTTATTGTTCTGTGTAGATCTAAGAATCTATCTGATACTATTTTTTTTTTCACCTAAAAGCTTTCTCCAACTGTTGATATTTTTTTGGCACCTCTGAAAAAAAAAATCTGCATTTTTTGCCTTCAGTTTTGAAGGTCAGTTTTGTTCCATATAAAACTTTAGTTTCACAGGTTTTTCTTTAATCAATTCTTTAGAGATGTCATTCTGACTCACATACTACTTTTTAATGAGGTTTGTGGATTTATGCTTGTTTCTCAATATTTAATGACCATTTTCCCCTGCTGTTTTCCTTTCTCTTTTCAATTATTCAGCAATTCAATTATGAGGTAATTTGATCTTTATATTGCTTGTTTATTAAGCTTTTTGTATCCATGAGATTAATTTTAATTAAATTTGAAAAAGTTGTGGGAATTTTCTTTTACTCCCACCCTCCCTATTTAGACATTCTCAACTATTCATATGTTAGACCATGTGATACAGTGTGACATGTCAGCGAGGTACTAATAAATTTTCCAGTCTGTCTGTTTTGTCTCCCTTTGGATTATCTCTCTTGCTATATCTTGCTTTATCTGCTATATCCTCAATTTCATGACTTCTTTGTTTACATTTAATATACTGTTAATCTCATGCTGTGACTTTTTAAATTTTGGATTCTTTTCAGTTATACAAGTTCTATTTAGTTCTTTTAAATATCTTTTATTCCTCTCTTTGCTCATGTTTTTAAAATTACTGATCATAATTAACATATATTTTATTTAAATTAATTCTTTTACTTACTTTTATTTAAATTAATTCTTTTACTTACTTTTCATTTCGGTGTTTCTTTCTATTGACTGGATTTCCCTGATTTTGTGTTACATTTTTTTTCTGCTTCTTGACATGCCTAGTAATTTTGATTGGATACTAGACATTGGACATTGATAGTAGACTGAGACTAAACAGATCTGACTTGGTGGAGTTTCACACTGTGAACATGCAGTTTAGCATTCAGCGAAGACTCGGTGTAAGCCATGTGAGATCTATAACGTGCTGTGTGTAGTTCCTGATGCTCTGGAATTCTGCCTACAACTTCCAGCTGTCCCAGACTTCCTGAATTGTTGCTCAACTCACCCTCAACCCAAGAACATTGCTGTGAGATCTGGATTGCTCCCTGTGCAGTAAATGGGTAGTGATTGGGTTCACCTATTTCTTCTCGGTGAGGAATCACAGCCCTTCTTTTGACTTTTGTATTATACCTGAAAACCATTCTTTTAAGTATTTTGTCCTGTTTTCTAGTTGCTGATGTGGAAACATAATTCTGGTACGTCCATCATGCTCAGAAGCAGAATCCCCTCTACTTCAAATTATACTTTGTAGCCTGCAAATGGTCACTGAATATAATGACCCTGCCAATCTAATAGTTGGCAGTTTAGTTTGAAAATAACTGTGGTAATTCCATTTTTGTTAATAATTATGTAGCCAAACAAGCATTTTACAGAGGCATATAATTATCATCCATATTATACATGAAAGTAAAATTTAATTCAATATTCATATTTTGCTTGAATGAAAATTATAATTGTATTATAGCTTATTCACAATATCAGCCCATAATACAGGGTTTAGTTAAACATTTTGTTTAAACACAAATTATTATAATTATACACAGCAGAGGAAATCTGTCTTTCCTTATTATTAAAACACAGAAGCCCAGTGCACAAAATTCGTGCACCGGTAGGATCCCTAGGCCTGGCCAGCAATCAGGGCTGATCAGGTTCCCCATCTCTCCTTCCTGACTCCTCCTTCCCTCACCACCTGTGTGCCTCCACCCCACGTAGTTCCCTGCCTTCCCAACTTTCCCTCCTTCTCCTTCCCTCGCATTCCACATCTGCTACCACCCAACCCCAGTTCTCCATCCTAGCCTGGGGCCGGGCCCCAATCAGGCAATCAGGGCCTGTTGGCCATGGGGAGGAAATAGGAGGCTGGCCAGCAGACCGACCCCATTAGCAATCAGGGTCTGCAGATTGGGGGCAGCTCCTGTGTTGAGCATCTGCTCCCTAGTGGTTGGTGCACGTCATAGCGACCAGCCATTCCAGTTGTTCCATTGTAACAGTTGCTTAGGCTTTTATATAGATAGATAATTCAAATCTCTACCTGTCATAAATCCAACTGAAAAATTTAAATATAAGTGTATTACTTTTAGAAGTCTGTACACAGTCACTATCACTTGGTGAAAAGCAGCAAGTTTCAAATTTCCAAAAAGTAAGTGTTAGGGAGACATGCTGTTTATTGAAGTTCTAGGCCTGGGTATTGGATGTGAGATGGTTGCATTGTTTTGCAGAAAGGGAAGAGTGTTGCCTTTATTTTTCAAAAGGAGTAAAACCTAGGAATGCCACTTGGTGTCAGAAATTCACAGATTTCTTCCATACAGGCTCCAGCTTTATGGCCACTAAGAGATCAAAAAAAGAAATTCAGTTTGTTTACATGAAGAAATATTTATACAACTATAAATCATCTGCAAAAGGTATCAAAGGGAGAAGCCTTTCTTTTGCTAAGAGAATTATGTAAAAACCAGAAATGCTATTCCCAATTAAAGCCACATACAGATACAATCCAGATATGAAAATCACTAATATCCAATATCACTAATATCTGGGGGAAATTTGATAGAAACATTATTTTTTTCTGTGAGTCAGGCAGCAAATACTAGAAACAGAAAGAATTTGTGGAATGTGAAGATAACAGTTTAAATCAAAGTCATTTCCTAACATAATGGGTGTAACAGAAATGTTAAACATGGGGATTTTCTTTTTTGTATACTTATGCTGTATTTGGTGAAGAGTTTTCTGATGTGTTCAAGCCTAGTCTGAATAAACATTTGACAGAAGATTTTGTCATTTATAAAAAAAAAAAAAGTTAGATAATATATGGCAAAGCAAAACATGGAATCCAGAACATGGTATCAAAAATCACACTCTTTTCATTAAACCACAGCACCTCCAGGATTACAAAGGCGATTTCAATAATAGATGAAAATTTCATTAGAGAGCTTTAAGGTACCTTCTCAGAATGCAAGTACACATTTCTCAAAGGAAAGTGGAAAAACAAAAACTGGAGTATTACATAAATTAAAAATGACGATATCTGGTGCATTACAGATCCATTAATTAGATTGAAGTCTTCATACTTACTTGGAGCCCTGGATCTGGAACAGGAGCAGCACTTGCAAACCGCTTACCAAGTTTCCTCTTCTCTTTCCTTAGGTTTTGCATATTCTGAATACGTTTATGTATGGACTTGTGGAAAATAAAAATAAAAATTAAAAATGTTTTTTATAAAGTGTATACTGATTATATTTTTGGTTTATGTCAATAAAAAAGATGAAGCAATCAGTGCATATGGCTTACATAGCTTCATAAAAGTAGGGGGAAAATATTTTCAAATGTATAGATGAAAAAACACATGGGACTATCAGTAGAATTTTCAAAAGAGACTACTCTTAATCCTTACTCTACCAACCATGCACTAGCACATTTAGATACATGCATTAAAAGCATGGCCAGTGTTGCTCAATGGTCAAATGTCATTCTGGGAACCAATGTTATATTCCTGGTCAGGGTACATGCCCAGCTTGTGGGCTTGATCCCCAGTAGAAGGGGAGGGGAGCAGAAGGCAGTTGATCTATGATGTTTCCCTTTCACTTATGTTTCTGTCTCTCTCACCCTCTTTCTCCTCTAAATAAATAAATAAATAAATAAATAAATAACAGAAAATAAAAAACCCAAAGGGATTTTTATAGTAATTAGAGAGCAAAATCCATGCACATTCTTTAGTTTTCTTAAATGCTGCATATCACACAGATTTTTTTTTTTATTTACCCGCTGTATGACATCTCTAAGTAGCAGGTACCTAAGGGATCATACTAGAATGCATTGACAATAATAAAAGAATATTATGATGAAGAGGGTATGAATAATAGGAACTGTTATATACTGCCAATAGGAGTGCATTTGGTACACTTGTTTGAAAACAATGAGACCTTACTTCATAACAATGAAAAACTCTCTTTTCCTATGATCCAATTATCTAATCCTGCCTTAATAATAAAGTGAAACTTTTATTCATTGGGGGAATAAAATGACATACTGGAATGTTAGCAATAGCACTGTTCATTATAGGCAAATGTGCAAACTACCTACTTCCCATCAACAGTAAGTCACAAGATCCCAGAGTCCCAAGAAAGATTACATAGAAGTGTCTATCTAATAAAAGTTATATCATATCAGGACCACCACACATAAAGGAACAAGATAAAGTCACAATTTTGAAATACCCAGAATGATTTATTTAAACATTACCTGACTTTCAGTGACATCTGAAGGTTTAGTTTTTCTTGGCATGTCCTACAAAATATGTGCAATAATTAAAAAAAAACCCACACCTATCAAGTCATGAGAAGACAAAAATATTAGTTATTATAATAGGAAGCCTATGGTACAGTTTTTTATTAATATACTAGTGACCCAGTGCACAAATTTGTGCACTGGTGGGGTTCCTCTTCCTGGCCAGTGATTAGAGCTGATCAGTGCTGTCTTGCCCAGTCCTGATCAGGCCAATGGGGGCCAGCCATCTGGGGAGGGATTTCAGGAAGGCTCCAGAGTATGTCTGGTCAGTTTCACACAGTCTCCATCAGCTGGACCCCAGCAGCAAGCCAACTTACTGGTCGGAGCATCTGACCCCTGGTGGTCAGTGTGCATCATAGTGACTGAACTAACAGTCGAATGAATGGCTGGACACTTAGCATATTATGCTTTTATTATATAGGATGCATATTATGTTGATGGCAAGTGGCAGGAGCGGAAGAATATCAAGGTAAAAACCAGGTTGGAGACTGGTGATAGTCCTAGAAGAGAACCAGCTATAAACAACATTATAAGTATAAAAAATGGTAAAGGGAAGTTTCATTTAAAATGGAGTTGGAGACCAGAAGGGGGAGACATCAGCAGTACCATTTGACCTCAATTACAGACCCTCTCAGGAAGAACTGTCAGTTATGGTCCTCAACAGGAAGAGACTTACCACTCCAGCAACTCAATCAGTGAGAAACCACTTTCGCTCTCTCCCCCCCCCCCCCCAATGGGTTTCTTTTCAAAAAAATATCTACCAACTTCCTCTTATTTTCTCTAGAAAATTCCTCTCCTTTGCTTGTGCGATTAACCTATAGTTTTTTGCTATGGCATACTTGTCTAGAATAGCAATTCTCTACTGTTCTCAGGTATAGCCATCATGCTACTAAAATAGTTGTTTTAGTTTTTTGGACAACACAGGGAACATATTAACTACAGAGATTTCTTCTGGAAGCACGGATGTAGGATAAATCCAAACATTCATGTTTCTCTTGGTACCTGACTTCAATGGCACCATCCTGATCTTTGCTTAAGGAACTGGTTTTTAGTTGAGGTTCCAAAGCCTGGTAAAGCGGGGGTGATTAAGAAACTCCATTAGATAGTTTGGTTTTCTGAGGCACATGGAGTTTGGCTGGTAGTTTATAGGTTTCCAACACCTCCTCCCAATTTCTAAATTATACAATAATAAATGCTTCCCTCTGTCCTCATTTTGATCAGCTGTTTAATTCAAAGACCTAAAAGTAACCTCCTCTCCATCTGAATATTGAGAAGTTGATCCTTTTTCCCACCTCTGTAACTCTCACCCCACCTTCTAGGTCAGCTCACTGTGACAGTTAACAAACGAGATGGAATATGGCAGCACCTACAAGGCACAGCGTAGGGTTTTTCCTTGTTCTGGGCAGGTCTTTCAGCCCAGGATCAAGTCTGTCTACTTCACCAGAGATTTTCCACCCCCCAGCACCAAACTATATGTGTTCTGGGCAAGGGTGACAGAGCTGGGGTTAAGGGCAGGAGACTCACGGGGTTAACTTGGGTGGTTTCATCCCCTATACAACGCAGGCACATGCTTCAGAGCCTTAGAGTGCCCCTGGCCACTGTGTGATCTCCACCAAGTAATTGCAGGCAGGCCACCTACTCCTAGGAGCCCCACCCTGGCCCTGTCTCATCACAATTCTCTTTATCCTCCCCCTGTGAGCCCCGCCCTCTCTTTAGCTGTCTTCCCAGCCCAATGAAAGGAAGGTGAAGTGTTTAGCTGTCTAGAGAGCACCAGGGGCATTAGGGATGCCAGGTTACCTCAGTCCCATATCCTTGCAGCTCTTTTGCGCAGACAACCACAGAATACCAATTTTTCATTTTTCTGTCCTCGTCTCTCTACTCTCCACCAAGTCCCCTTCACTTCGATTCCATGGCCCCTCACTTCAGCTGATGGTCAGGGTTCTCAATTCCTTGATCTAACTGTTCTTCCATCATACCTTCCAGTTGGATACAGCCAACTATCAGCCTTCTCCCTGGGCTGAAATGGGAGAATACTTGGAGATTCCTGCAATACATACCCATAAGCTCCAACTTAACCTGTGTCCTCATTGGGGCTATCCTCTTCTTTTATGTTGCACACCTCTTTCTTTTTTATATCCTGTAGTGTTGCCTTCAAATGGCCACCCCACTATTAAAGTTCTGGACCCAGCATCTCCCAGGCACTTTCCTTCTATTAAAATATCTAAATCCAGCAGCACCCAGAAGCTTTCAGCTGAAGTTGGATTTTCCTCCACTCCCTGACAAATACACGTAGAATTAATGCTCAGCATTGTTAGATCTATTTATACATATGAGCTCCTTACAACATCCCCAAAAAGGTAAGTGTGTGGTTATTATCATCTGGGAAACAAAACACTGGTGTGATAAATCAATTGCTCAAAATTATACAATTAGTGGCTGAGCTGGGATTTATCTACAAAGTTGGGCTCAGAGCCTGTGCTCTCAATCACTATGCCTTAGCACCAATAGCTTTTAAAAACCCAGAGGTGCTAGCTATCTCCACTCCTTGTCACCTGTAAGCCTATATATATATATATATATATATATATATATATATATATATATATATATATATATATATATATTGCCTTGTTTGTATCTGAATTACCCTTTTCCTGTAATCCTGTTGGGTTTGAAAAAGTTTATCCCTTCCTCCTAATTGAAATAAATCTCTCTACTTCTGTTCTCATGCCATTTCCCTCCTAGAAACCTCTCCAGAGATCTTATTCCATCTATTGCTTCCTCTTCTTGTTAACCTCTCTATATTTCCTTTCCTTGCATTTTTAAAAAAAATTTCTTTATTGATTAAGGTATCATATATTTGTCCTCAAACCCCCATTCCAATCCCCCATTCCCTCCACTCATTCCCCATCCCCCCTATTGTCCTTGACCACTGGTTAGGCTCATACGTGTGCACATAAGTCCTTTGGTTGATCTCTCCCTTTTATCCCCACCCTCCCTTTGAGGTCCAACCGTCTGACCCATGGCTCCTTCTCTCTGAATCTGTTCTTGTTCATCAGTCTATGTTGTTCACCATTTCCCCTAGATGAGTGAGATCATGTCCTACTGAATCCATATAATCTGATCTTCTCTTCAAATGAGTAAACCAAAAACCCTTGAACAACAACTGATTATAACTATTGTCCATCACATCTATTTTCAGGAAACTTTTCACAAGAGTTGTATGCTGTTTCCATACTCTCTTCTTTACAACCAGTGTAATCTTTGGCTCACTGCAACCTTCTTCAACCCTTACTACACCATTGGTACTTGTTTCAAAATGGTCACTAATGGTATTCCTGCTAAATTCAATGTGCACTTTGTACCAGGTGACTTTGGCCTGGTTAGAAACTGTAGAGATATCTTGAAAGATTATCTTAGGAAATCTACTCTTTCCCCTATTTGCTCTGCCTTTTTATTTATGTTGGGAAGCTTCCAGGTCCAAGATTTATCTGGGGCTCACCACATCTGCTCGCTCATTTCTATATGCAGCCTCAATAAAAGTCCCAGCCTAGAAACAGTGACACATGATTTTTATCATATCAAAGAGGATACATGATTAAAAGTACATAAAGATATTGTCAAAGACAATTTCTCAAAGGTTATAAGGTTCTCCCCCCAACATGCTACCTGTTACTTCCAGCATCCTAACTGCAATAACTGGTTATCTACTTTCCTTGTGGTGGTTCAGTGGCCTAGAGACACATTAAGTGTGGCCCTACTGTAAAGAATAAAAGTCTGTTGTTCTGAGCTACTAAGTTTGTGGTCATTTGTTATAGCAGCAACAGGAAACTAATACACTAACCTATGATATAAATTGATCTATCTAGTGTTACATCACAGAGGTGAGAAGTTACAACTGTAGGTGGTGGAAAGAACAAGCAGGTCCTTGTGAAATTAATGCCTATCCAGTGTCAAGTTCAGGTGTATAGTAGTCCTAAGGATGAAAGTGTATAATACCCTTCCTACATTTATTTCAAAATTGAAGGGCTAAATTATCTGTGGTAGGTTAATAACTGTTCTCAAAATACATCCATGTCCTAATGCTTGGAACTTATTGATATTTCCTTTTTTGCAAAAGAATCTTTGCAGATGTGATTAAATTAAGGATTTTGAGATAAGATTATTCTGGATTATCTGGGTGGACCCTATAGACCAGTGGTTCTCAACCTTTCTAGTGCTCCATCCTTTAATACAGTTCCTCATGTTGTGGTGACCCCCAACCATGAAATTATTTTTGTTGCTACTTCATAACTGTAATTTTGCTTACTGTTAATGAATCGTAATGTAAATATCTGTGTTTTCCGATGGTCTTAGGTTGAGAACTGCTGCTGGTCTTAGGCTCTATAGCAGCAGTTCTTAACCTAAGACCATCGGAAAACACAGATATTTACATTACGATTCATTAACAGTAAGCAAAATTACAGTTATGAAGTAGCAACAAAAATAATTTCATGGTTGGGGGTCACCACAACATGAGGAACTGTATTAAAGGGTCGAGGCATTACAAAGTTTGAGAACCACTTCTATAGATGACCACCAGTGTCTTTATAAGAAAGAGGTAAAAAGAGAAATAGACACTCAGAGAGGAGAAAGATAAGTGAAAGTGGAGACAGACAAGTGGAATGTTGTGGCTTTAAGCCAGCGAATGCAGAAAGCAAGCCAATGAATGCAGTCAATGAAAGGGTTCTACCCAGCATCCTGGGAGAGAAAGACTCTGTCAACATCTTCATTGTAGATTTCTGTCCTCCATAACTGTAAAGAATAAAAGTCTGTTGTTCTGAGCTACTAAGTTTGTGGTCATTTGTTATAGCAGCAACAGGAAACTAATACACTAACCTATAATATAAATGTAAAACTCTCCAACAGCAAGTGCTGGATTTCCCCCCTAGTTTAATTCCTTCATTGATTCCTTTGTTCAATATTAACTCTAGAATTTGATCTAAGTTAATTTCTCATGTGTCCAGAGTTTATATGGGGACAACAAAAGAGAAAATGGATAACAAGTTACCAAAGGGACATATAGGGTATCTCCCAAGGTGTGTACACACCCTTTGAATAATTATAAAGTCAGTGTTTATTAAAATTCATTTCATTTTCAAAATTGATCTATCAGCTGTTAAAGTGTGTATACATTTTTTGGGAGAGACCCTACATATAGTCTATTTTTCTATGAGAGTAAATAGAATACATGATAATTCTTTAGAATATTATATATGAATAATTTATAATTCTTAGAATCAGGAAGTTTATTTGCTTATTTATTTTTCCTAGAGTGACTAGAAGTTATGCCCAGCAGGTGGCACCACAATCCTAATATTTACAGGGTTGTAACAATTCATAGTCAAGGAGAAAACAAAAATTATTATATAGCCAGAAGATGGTGCTAGGCGACCAATCTTTAAAAACCAGTGTCTGCATTTGAAATAGATAGCTTCATTTTTTTACTCATTCCATTTTATATATATATATATATATATATATATATATATATATATATATATATATATAAATTAGGGTATTGTTGACATCATTTTTTTTAAAAAAATCCTACAGTGCCTTCGGTAGCTTCAAATTTAAACTTCAGATTTATTACTTCTAAAATAAAAGAACTACACTGACCAGCTCATAAAAGCAAGTACCTTCCTACTCTACTTTTTATCACTCCCAATCCTTGCAAAGAAAAATATATTAAAATTTATTTTATTGTTTCTCTATCTTCCTATGTTTTGAGATTATAACTTTAAAAAATTATAAACACTCATCATGCCCACAAAAGTGGAGCTTGGACACTGAGGTGCAGGCACAGGAGAGTCTCACATCTCTAAATTGCCAGCTAAAACCATTAGTGGTAGGGAAGTGATCCTGTCCCCTACCTGCCATCCAAATCTCTCTAAGTACTGACAGTGAAAATTTGCTTCCAGAGCACTAGCTTCAAGAGTATTGGTTGGATTTAGGTTATAGCTTTACAAACCCTCCAAAAGGAAGAAGAGTGGACTGGAGGGTGAGAATTAAATTATCCCCCTCCTATCGAGAAGCTCCACGTAGGGCGAAAATCACTGATATATAATCACTCAGATAAAATAGCTATTAACATTCCGTCACTTCTCTATTATAAGTTTTCCCTGTACATTATTACATTATCACTATTGCCATTGTTGTCTGTCTTAGAAAAGCATCGCTAGCTACTAGCAGCCCTGTGCCTTTTTTTCCTACATAAAGATTTGTAAAATGTACTTATTTGAGATGGAATAATGCTGGTGACTCAGACTCAAGATTTCTTTCTGGAGCAGATAATACCAAGAAAAGGAAAACTTCAAAAAGAAGGTCCTGTTGTGTGGGGATTATGTCAGTGCAACCCATTCCATCCACACAGGCCGTTGCAAAGTCTGTTCTGTGGGCAAGGGTATTGATTGGGGACTTTCTGTGCTGAGGTCCATTCTGTTTGGACGTCTAATCCCAAAGCCTTCTGTTTTAGCAGCCATCCCAACCAGTCAGCAGCATTTCTGTGGCACCATCTGAGTGGTTTT